CTGAAGTGTTAGTAGGTCAGAAATTTCAATACTGTAATACTAGTTAAATGTGGCGTCGCCGATGGTGTAAACTGTTTTAAATTTTTATGTACTGAAAATTTCTAAATGCCATGTACAGCTTTAAATAAGTCTTTGGCATTGGATATACAATGAATCACTGTAGCTGGAAGGGTATGGGAATGTTATAGTAGTATGGGAATGTTACATTCCCATTCAAAAATTCCCTACACCCAATGACCTTGCGTGTTACCGCCACATGGGATACGAACTGTTAGGTAATATTGCAATTTCCAAATTGAAATCGTCGTAAAATATACTTGCAGGTATGGACGATTCGAATAGTTAGAATTTAGTATAGCTGTATTTTTATCCTTACTTGCTAATACGGACAGAAATTCACATAAAAGATCACATGGACAACTTTTTTCGGCGTTATCTGATCCTAATATCAGATCATTCTCAATTAGTTTTCAAAATTATGTCACAAAACTTTCTGCAAATGTATTTCTCGAAAAGGCTCCAAATACATCTTTAAATTTAGTGTAAAAATGAACATTTAAAGTAATGTAAGTGTAAAAATACACATATCATACATTTTAACGGTATACTTACAAGCATAACACAACAAACAAGGCGATTTTCACTGTTAACTCTCAGTTTTCGAGAAAAAAAAAAAAATTTTTACGGCTACAAAATTGAAGATAGATTTTTCTCTTTCAAATGAAATTTCTTATCCATAAATAGTTCTTTTATTATGGTTATGTACATTTTTTGAAAATTTGAATGGTTTTGGGACAATATTGCAAGAAATTTGTGCAATTTAAAAAAGTAACAAAAACAAGTTTTTCTCAAAAATGGTTCCAGATTTCTTAACTTTTGGTAAGGATGGTGTTAATGCAATTTATAAACTGACATAAACCTCCGCTAACCGACGTGTAGTTGCTCTACTCTTATGTTTATTCAAAAAATTAAAAAAATGTAATTTTTTAAATTTTATAATATATAATATTAACATATATATAATAAAATTATATTAAAAATAAATTAAAAAATGTAAGAGCCACCGCGGCGCCGTCACGCGCGACCAGGCACCGAAAAAGAAGGCACCACCCCTATCCGGGGGCTGGCCAGCGGACCCTCAGTCCCAGCGGGCTATAAAGCAGCGCCCCGGCGGGCAGAGGGCACTTGAGCATCCACCAACAGTGCTCAGTGCATCAGTGAATTGTGAACAGTGTTAACGGAACAGCACAGTGTATGGACTCTGTCTGTCTGTCTGTCCCTGTCTGTCTGTCTGTCCCTGTCTGTCTGTCTGTCCCTGTCTGTCTGTCCCTGTCTGTCTGTCTCTGTCTGTCCCTGTCTGTCTGTCTGTCTGTCTGTCTGTCTGTCTGTCTGTCTGTCCCTGTCTGTCTGTCCCTGTCTGTCTGTCTGTCTGTCTGTCTGTCCCTGTCTGTCTGTCCCTGTCTGTCTGCCTGCCTGTCTGTCTGTCTGTCTGCCTGTCTGCCTGCCTGTTCACCTGTCTGTCTGTCCCTGTCTGTCTGTCTGTCCCTGTCTGTCTGTCTGTCTGTCCCTGTCTGTCT